TCAAGTGGAACATCCAAGTGTGAAACCCACGTGCACTGGGCCTGCTAAGTTCCAAGTACCGTGGTAGAGAAAGAACCTATTGAAATCAATACTGCGATTTATGCTGTAGCCTCAGAAGTCACATAGCAACAGTTCTACAGAGGTTTGCCGAATCACACAGAGGGAATTTAGATCCTGCCTTGATACAAATTTAATCACAAAGAGCTCTGGCCCTCTTTGAAAAACATCATCTGCCACATCTGCTTATTAATTGCATTTACCTCTGTCCTTATTGATATTTAAGACTCTATCTACCCTCTCTAAAATACAACTTCTACTTCTATGTCCATACTCCTAGAGTAGTATGAAGATGTCTACCTCAATATTTGGCCTCACTGGCCCGTGAATTTTTGCAGTTGTTTATTTTTAATCTGGGCTATATTTTGTCAGCTAACCCAAAAAACAATATCAAATCTGAATCCATAGAGTTTGTGTGATCCTGTACTGATTGGCTGGGAATTGCCTGGATTTTTCTCTCCTGACAAGATTTAGTATTTCTTCTCTATTTGCACAATTCAAAATGTGATTTTAATTGTCCATTTACAGGAGACTGGCTGACTGATAAGCTTTGGTTGAATTTGAATCAGAAGATGAAGTATTAGTCCTAGAAAAAAATTATAAGCTATCAGTCATAGATATATTGAAAAGTTCAAGCCACACAGAATCGAAATGGATTTGTAGTAGGCTGGATGATGGGTCTGAATGACTTTTAGAGGATTCCCCTTCATATGTAAAAAGAAATAAATTATTCATTGTTCCTCTAAAAGTTGGAAATAAAAGCACATAGAATCCTTTTACTAGTGAACCTCCTGGGCAGTGTGCTAGGAAATCTTGCTGTAGTTTAACTTCACAGAAATTGGTTGGAAAGATGCTTTTTTTTTTTTTATTACAAAGTTCATTTTTACATCATTTTGCACATTTTTTTTTCCATCTCGATTGTAATCCTCGTGGGTTTCCCATCACCAAATCACCCCTGTGCCACTACATAGTCCCATGCATTTCCCTCCCTTCTTCCCCCCCCCACACCCCCACGTTTTTGATCCCATTCCCCACTCCACCCCCACAGAATGTCTCTGGTCCATGGTTGTTCATGATTTTTGTTATTTTCTCGCCTGGTCCATTACACTCCTGCTATGAGTGAAACCATCCGGTATTTTTCTTTCTCTTTCTGGCTTATCTCACTAAGCATGATCTTTTCCA